TTGCCTTGGGCATCACCAGCTGACACGACATGAATGCTGTTGCTTGTATCTAGGTCAGCATCGAAACCATCGGGGCGGACATCGGCGTGCTGGGATTTGACTTCGGCAGTGGCATCATCGGAGCTGCCAACGGCTGAGACGTAGACGACGAAAGCGAAGAGCAGCACCTGTATGCAATGTAAGAAAAACATTATAATTGACGGTTAAATAATTTCCATTTGAAAGGAGTGATTTTAAGCTATTGCAACCAAAGTCTTTTTAGTGCATGCACTTACGTATTTGAACATTTTTGCTATTTTTTTTTCGGTTGTGATGTCTCGACTAGAACACTTGATTGTTTCTGATGCTGATTGCCAAATTTGATAGCGCTTTTATAATGGCAAATTTTCTGTGCTTCAATAGCCGCCTAATTTGCATACCACCGGGAATGAGCCTTCAAGTTCACTGGTTATGCAAGTGCATGCGTGGTATGTGTTTTTATGTCTGTGTGTTTGACTACAATTACTGCCCATTCCCGTTGATTTTTTATGATTTTGGCGAATTCTAATTCGTCGGCCGTTAAAATCCAGCTAAACTTGTTATAATTGTAAAAATGTCTCAGCTAAAAATTTTTTTTCTTTTATTCAAATAGGTATACACACAAGAATTTACTTTTTAGCAAATGCATTTTTAGCAATTAAGAAAAAAACAGGACCCGAATCGCGGCATTCAATATCGCACGTAACTCCAAACGAAATTTGATTTTTAAATCGTAACATTCGATAACGAGTGTGCTTCGTCCATTTAAATTGTATTGTAGAGAATACAGCTACCAACTCACCGTCATACATCTGTTTAATTCGATTCGAAACGAGAAATGTAAGTAAGGTGTGCATCTCGAAATATGCACCTGGTTTTCTAAATCAATCAAACATTTTTTATCAACTATGTTCCTAAGGATGTATGTATGTATGTACATTAGCGTGGGCTGAAAATCCGCTTTTTTAGAATTTTGATTGGTAATAGCAAAAATATGGTTCATTATGCTCTAAAAAAAATTTGTGTGAAAAATTTAAATTTTCGGCCAATATTTTAGTCTCGCCCAAGTTTATCAAAGTGCAATGTGCTCAAAAAATAAAAATTAAGAAAGGCATCAATGAATACATTTTTATTGTACTAAAATTGCAAGTAACTTCGAAAGTTTTAGTCCTACATAATTTGGTATGTGGACCTTTTTCGTAGAGAATCGAAGTAAGGTAAGAAACAATTTTTTTAGCACTTGAACTTTGATGAACTTGGCGAGCTTAATTATGAACCATATTACCAATCAAAATTCTAAAAATGCAGATTTTAGGCCCACACTAATGTACATTGTACATATAAATATTTCTAATCATTCCAATTTGCAACTTATTCCTTCACATTTTCCATCACTGCCGCATTGTTGGCTAGCGATGCGCAACACGCAACACATCAATGATTTTAAACAGGTTTTCTCCTCAACATTTTTTTGTTACAGCTTAATTACGCGCAATTTTCATGTCATATCAATGAAATCAATATCAAAGACTCATATTTACACATTTGGGGTAGTTATACGCTTATTTGCTGTCACTTATTCTAACGGAGCTATAAACAAGTTTATATAATATTTTTATTTTCTTAATCTTAAGTGTCAAAGTTGCGAGGGGTCGCTTCAAATCAAAGTATTTTCAATCATTTATTGTAGCGCACGCTTAATTGCCTAGAGGTTAACTGTTATGAAATCATAAAATAAACTATAAAATGCAAAATGCACCAGTGTAGAAAGTAATGTAGGATTGATAAGCCTGTCGCAATTTGGACCCACCCAAGTTTAGCTCTCAGATAGTCCATATTGTTATCAATACTAGTCCCTCATAATTCCCCTGCCAATGGTTTCAACTGTCGTTTTTAACATTGGCGTGTCATTGGAAAAGGACCGGTCCAACAACTAACCGTAAGATGTCCTATTGTGCTTAATTGTTCTTTATCATCTGGTTTTGGATTAGTCCATTTACATTTTAGTTTTAATAAATTTTTTCGTTTGAATACGATTTCGTTGTGCACTTCACAGATGCTTTTTCGTAATAAAAGGAACGAAAAACAAAAATTTAATATTATATGTTCAACCAATGAGATTTTAACTCGGTCAGTCCTGACAGCACAACCAATAGTAGGCATCTCTGCGATATAGAATATGCTCGATAATTCCGTTTGTATGAGAGAAAATGCCCAGCACCTTCAGTATAAAAAAAAAACAAGAATATTAAAAATCAACGCGATTTTCCAGCGTTTTGAAATTTACACTTTAACCTACTAAAACTTAAAAAGCTACAAAACCGCATACTTAAAATTTGTCTAAAAATTCGAAATAAAAAGTTTAAGCTTTGTGGAAGCACATCTTAAATGTTGTTGAATTTTCCTAATTTTTATACGAACTTTGAAATGTGGATTTATGTGGCGCTGGTTAGGTAGACTTTTATAAAAAAATATAAACTTTAAAGAAACAAGAGAAATATAGCCCAAACTAGTCAAAATGTCACTTGACTTAATCAGCTGACCACAAGGGTACATACATACGTATACAGGGTGTCCTAGACCATCCGTCCACCCCCTCTAAAATGGAATGAAATGTTTTTTGTTGAAAACCGCAAAAATTTTACTGACTTAATCGGGAATGCTGTATCTTTTGGTGGTATTATCGACTGCCGTTTTCGATCGGAGGTGGGTTAAACTGAGCGGATGTCCATTTTTTCCAAATTTGGATTCTAACAATAAAAATACGTAACCTTTGTTTGAAACTTTTTTCTCAGGAGCGCCGTTTTCAATCCCTAAATGACCTTCGAGCTTCAGCTCGTCTTGGACTTTTAAAATGGACGAAAATGTTTTTTATTGGAAAACGAAAAACATGAATTACCAAGTCGAGGCCGCTCTATCTTTTGCTCATATTACCGACTTCCGGTTCCGACCGGAAAGGGGTTATACTGTTTTGGGTTTCACTAAAGCTATTTCAACATGGCCCTAAAACTTCCCGATGAATAAGACCATTGTTTCGATTTAAAGCGCATGTGTTCATATTATTCTACTACACTTCTGAGAGCAGAAGTCTACGGAGGGCTGGTATGCTTGAACTGTGGGACCCATGTCCTGTCTCGATTTTTTTTTTTACTATGAACTCATCTGCTTCCTTATTTACCGAAACGCCGTCATGACGAGATCCGGGATAAATTAACGAAGAGATTTTAGGTTTCTTTTTGTGTTAAGATAAATATGAAGATGAAGATATGGAGATAGATAAAGACTAACGGCAACGACTAACGACAAGGAAGAATGAGTGGAAGGGGCTAAGTTAAAGATCAAGATAAATATGTCAAACGAACTGGAAATGAGAAGCTTCAGTAATTACGCCCGAAAACTGTGATAAATCAATAACTACTCAAGCTAATTGACTCAAAACCGATGAATGCAATAACAACCTCGCAGAAGATTAGATTATTGTAGATTTTTGGATAACGGGCATGGCGCCGCCCACTTATGACCACAAATGTGTATCTCGGTAAACGATTTATCAATTTCGACCAAACTCGGTCCACGCAATAACCTTTTTCCAATCTTGTTTCCACGAAAAATCAGGAGCGGATAGACAAATTCTTATTAAAAGAAAAAAACTCCGATCAATAAAATAATTTAGTAAATTTTTGATAAAGGCAAGGTGCGCGTTACCACTCATTAGGACCAAGGTTCGATAGCTGGTCCGAGCAATTTATTTTATTCTAGCGCTTTTAGATTCCCCCTTTTTGTGTGTTAACACCAGGGCGCTTCCTTCTACGAAGGGAAGATCAAATAGAGAAGGCCTCGGGCACACCTGCCTTTTCGGTTGGCACAGAAGAGAATCGAATGGTGGGTGTATTTTATTCGACTCGGCCAAAATCGCTTTGACTAAGAAAAGAATGGAACGCATGGTAAGACGCTACACATGCAAAGCACCAAACAACAAGATTAAACGATACAAGCGCAAATGAATCATATCTTGGTAAGGAAAAGTAAAAGCATCCTCCGTTTTTCAGTTTTCTAGGAAACGAAGAGCAGCGGAGAAAGTGAAAACATGCATGTGACTTGTTGGAGTTTCTTGAGCCGTCCCATCACAGCATGGCTCTTTATTCTAGGTAGTAGTTTCCTAATATTCACATATCCTTCTACAACCACAAAAAATGTCATGGGCTGTCTTTCTTTGAATTCGAATTGAAAGCACGAGTTGTATAAGAGTTGTATAACAGACTCAATATATTTATGTATAGCTGTAATCCTTTCTTTAAAATGAATTAATAGTATTAAAGTGTGGATCTATATGTTCGCACGCTTATTTATCTGTACTACCTAATAGGTTAGTGGGATAATTGACAATAACTTTTTCTAATTACCTTGTTTTTCTAAAGCTACTGTAATTATCTTTACCCTATTTAACTACACATATGCAAAGTTAATAACGTGTGATTAATGAAGCTGTTGGAACGCTATAATTAAAGTAAAAACGTATGTTTACCAGTTAGCTGGATTATTTTATTTGCATTTAAAAAAACATAAAATATAAACTGAAAATCGGCAACAAGTGGAAAAGTTTCTTCGAGCCTAGCATTGTTTTTGTATAACAATAAAACTCGAGTATCACATAACATATCCATTCAATCCCATCGCCTTCCATCTTATCAGCATCATCAAGTCAAGTTCTAGTTCAATATAAATATAATCTTTCAATTATCGGCGGCATCATCCAATCATATAATTTATGATTTTGTTTGGCTTTAGTTCTTGGCGTCCTTTTGGGGGTGAGAGCTGAGCCACGCGAGCTCCTTGATGATGGCTTCTGGAGTTGGTGGTGGAGTGGGCAAGAGATCGCTCTTTGGCTGGTAACCATTCTCATCGGCAACATAGGTTAATTGGACGTTGGTGCCTTCGGGCGATACCCAACCGAATTCACCCTTAATGTTGCCTTGGGCATCACCAGCTGACACGACATGAATGCTGTTGCTTGT